GCGAGAGTCACCCAGGAAGGAACACACCAGGCAAGTTGGCAAATAGACCTTTATTAGTCTGGCCAGACGGCACTCCCCAAGCCAAGTAGCTCAGAGAGGCGGCTAGCTCAGAAACAGAGGCCATTTTATATAGGGCTAAGGGGGGGGGTTTACACTTAAAACTTACAGGAAGAGGACAAAGGCAAAGATTCAGTTGATCTGAGCTAGTGGTCATCAAGCATATACTTGACCATCACGTACTAATGATCAGCAGAGCGATTATCCATTATTCCATTTACAACTTAGATTATAATGTTCAGAACATTCAACTACAGGCAAGTAATTTGTGGCGTGATTTGTGTCGGATCTCTGTGTTCACTACAGTTTCCATTTAGTTTCCCAGCTACTTCAAAGCAGTTACCTAACAATTCACAATTAATCATTAGTTATCCTGTAAGGGATGCGGGGGAGCGACAGTCTCTAGGTCGTTTGCTGGTCAACATGGAGTCGCTCTGGTTCAGTCAGGTTCTTACACACACGCACCGAGAGATCCGACAGGAGACTTTCTTCAGGCAGCAGGAGCAGAGAGGGAGAAGGGGCAGAAGAAGCGAACAAAGAAGGGAAGGTCCTTTTATCACTTTTGGACTGAGCTATGATTATTAATGAGGAGTGAGCTACTTCTAACCTATCACAGGCCAGATTGCTTTATGGGTCCAGCCCTGCAGACACAGGTTTCAATTTCTCTGGACCACTGTGGCCTTGGGGGAGGGGACCAGAGATAAGGGCACGAGGTCACTTTAGGAGCCAAGAAGCACCAGGAGAATGCAGCCTGTGAGGCGGCCTCACAGCATACTTTAGCATGATCAATTCCCTAACAAATGGTGTTTGTGAGACTTGTCAGTGAGATCCGTGCCTACGTGAAAGACTTACTGCTATTTTTCAGACCTGGATGCTTTTCGGATCACCTAAAATATGAGCCATCTCTATCACTACCTGTATCATTTCCCTCGTTTACAAAGAGTTACAGAGTGTGATAAGCAAATCTCCCATGGGTTTGGAAAGAGCAAGAAAGATCATCAAAACAAAAATGGCTGTGTACAGACTCTAAAGGGGGCTTGTGTTTAAGGTTACCTTCTGTTCAAGCTCAGTTTTTAAGCTACTTAGATTAGAGTTGTGAGGTGAAAAGCTAACCTTTCCCAGACTGACTTCTGAGCTTTTATTTATTAAATCAGGAACCGTCCACAGAACACTGTTGTATCACCATTTAGTTTGCAGCAGTTGTTTATCATCCTGGGCTGAAAAGCAACAACACCCATGCTCGAGGACATAGGAGGCATTAGATCCAATTACCAGTTGCTTTGTGCACAGATAACTGAAAAAATGTGTGTCTTTTACAATTACAATCCCTTTCTAGAGTAAGGTGTTTATTGGGGTTTCATCCTATAGAATTTCCTCATGTGGAAAGGAGATAAATTTCTGGATAGAAAGTACAGTTTTAAGGATCTGCTGAGCCAGGAACTCCCAACCCCTGGGCCACAGACTGGTCTGTAGCTGGTTAGAGTAGGAGCCAGACTACACAGCAGGAGGTGGCTGGTGAGGGAGAAAAAGGGAGTGCAGCTTCATTTGAATCTAGGGTCACACCCCAGCTATGGCATTAGATTCTCACAGAAACACCAACCCTGCTGTGAATTTCACGTGCGACTGAAACTTACTAGGTTATACACTCCCTGTAACAGCCTGATGTAATCAGAGAATCAAAGTGCACAATGTAATAATAATAAAAATAAAGTGCACAATTAACTAAGTGCCCCTGAATCATCCCAGATTACATCCCCACCACCGCCCTGATCTATGGAAAATTGTCTTCACAAAACTTGCCCCTAATACTCAAAAAGTTAGGGACTGCTATTCTAAATCTTTCTCCTCTTGCAAATGAAAGACAATGACAGGAAAATAAAGATACTCAAGAAAATATTTGCAGCACACTGTGACCCAGCTATATAGAAAAATACTTATTGGCAAGATAGAGTGCCGGTGATGTCGCGATGTAACCTACCTCCCAGAATGGTGATTGTGTGGCAATTCCTAAATGGGCAGGCAATACTAGAAAATAAACACCTCCCTTCAATATTAGAGTATATTACTGCTGTTTCGGGTGCATATGTGTTCTCTTCCTTCTGCTATTTTACTTCTCAGGGATGGAAAGAAATGATTGAAACTTATTTGCAGCAACTTATTCAAAGTGAAGTAGCTTAGCAATTGAAGTAACTTAGCAGATTTCACTCTTCTTGTCCCATTGCTAAAGAAGAACACTTTTTTTTTTGAGACAGGGCCTCACTGTGTAGTTGAGGCTGACCTGGAACTCACTATGTAGCTCAGGCTGGTGTCGAACTCACAGTGATCCTCCTGCCTCAGCCCACCGAGTGCTGGGATTACAGGTCTGCACCACCACTCCCAGCCAAGAAGAACACTTAATGCACTTGTCCCAATTGTTTAATTGCAGGAAAGTATAGTTTTAAGCTTGAGATTTTATCTTTACAAAAAATCTAAAGGAGTTGTAGATAATTTATAGAATTCCATCTATTCAAAGAGCAACACTGATAAAGTATTCGGTCCCACGGAGAAGGCGAAAAAAACCTGTCATACATGACTCACTTTTGAAACTTGATGCTCTGAGCCGGCCTTGTGCTGTAAGACACAGGACAACCCTACAGCCATAGGAGTGGAGCATGAGACTAATTCTGGGGGAATTCAGTTTTGCTAGTTCTCCATTGTGTCCTTTCTGTCGGTATGAGAAGTGATTTAGGCTACTTCCTCCATAATTACAAAATTAACAGAGTGTCTGACTGAAGAGCAATGCTATTTTTTCCAAACTTTAGTTTCAGGAAATTATAATACCACACTTAGTGGTTTAAACCATCACGAGCGCGCTACTTTAGGGATCTTCAGGTCTCAAGTCCAAAGTAGGTCTTACCTGGCAAAAAGCGAAGGTGTCAGCTGGGTACCATTCCATCGTGGAGGCGCTGAGAGACCCACCGGCTTCCTTCATCCACCCTTATGTCTGCCAGCGTGGCCGTGGCCCTCATACTCCGTCTTTGACATAGCACGTCACAGACTGCGCTTCTATCTCCTGTGGTTCTCTTCTTCTGCTTCTGCGTCCGCCTTTATTTTAGTTCAGTTTTTATGAGTACGCATTTGCAGTCCGCCATGCTCCCTCTCGTCGTGCAGAGTCGGTGCAGGTACAAACGCATCTTCATTCGTTATTGTCCAATCCTCTTTCTCTCCCCTTCCTTCCTTCTCACGCCGTCCAACTCCTGGTCACCCCCACCGCTCAGCACCCTTCTGAGTTTCATCAGTGCTTTTATTGTATGAACTACTATTCTTTACCAAACCCTTTACTGAAATTTAAAAAGCTGGTGATAGGAGTAGTTCTTTTTCTTGAATATTCTATAACATGCCACCTTGAATTGACCTTCCAAAGTTCAGAGTATGAAGGATACATGAATAGAGCACTCAAAAATATGGGGGTTTTTTGTTTTTTGTTTTTTGTTTTTTTCAGACAGGGTCTCACTATGTAGTTGAGAATGACCTGGAACTCATTATGTAGCCCAGGCTGGTCTCGAACTCACAGTGGTCCTCCTGCCTCAGCCTCCCGAGTGCTGGGATTACAGGCGTGCGCCACCACGCCCGGCTCAGAACTATGTTTTAACACAGGTTAATTTTTTTTATAATTATGACAGAAACACCTTTAAAGATAAAAAAAGACAAACCAAAGAATCCTACTCAAATATAAAAGGTATTTTGGGTCAGGTCATTTCTTAGTCCAAATAATACAACATGTCAATCAATTTCTCAGACAAATTCACGAAAGCATTACAAAATTGCACTTTATAGTTGTTAAGCAATGCATTTATGTGGTAGAAGAAATAAGAAAACTTACAGAAGCAAAATCTCAAACTATTGCAACTATTAAACTAACAGATTTTCAAATTAAGAAATTACCACTATTGCTTGGAAAGTATGCCTTACTCATACTCTCAAACTCATTTTATTTGCTTGGCATATAATTTAGTACTTTAAAACAATTTAGCTAAATTATTTAATATTTTTAGAATCTTACCTTTCTGGATGGAGGTGTTTCACATAATGGTTTTCAATTAAGAAGAAATCACTGGATAGTTTTAATCAAAATTTATGATCATCTGATTAATGCATTAACAATTTATTCAGCAATTTAGAAAACTAACAAAAGGAATAAATGTGGTAATTCTTCACTGTGAAATTTGGTCCATTAATAATACCAGCCCAAGAATCTGACAGTCTACTTGATTTAGTTATGTTGCCATGTGTGCTATCTTTTTTTCAAGAGCAATTCAGTGATTTGAGGGGGTTGGTTATTACAATACAAATAACATAGAAAAGTAAAAAACAGCATTTTAGCACCAATGCCAGTACTTATTTCATTATGTCAACAGCTAAGGATATTAATTTTTATTTGCTTTTCATAGGGCATAAATCAAAGCCATTACCTTGAACTTGAGATATATACACAATACACACACAGCCTTATGAAAAATACTTTTTGTAAGTAACATTACATTTAAAAATATTGGCAAGAGCAGGTGCTGATTTGTATTTTGACTTAATGGAACAAGAAGAGAACAACATTCAGCTGGGGAGGGTTACACTGACAATAAAGCTCTTTAAAGTTCACAATGGTTTCCTCCCCCTTTGCACTTACCACAGGCTCTACAATGTCCTGAGAGGATTTATTATGAGAAAAATATCAGCCACAGCTTCAATAGCAATACTTTGAAAGGAATGAATGAGAAAGCAAATCGGAAGGTGAAAGTTCATCCTTGTTTTCAGATAAGCGGTCTTAATGTTTCTTCTTTAGAAAAACTTTTAATCAGTTTGTTATAAATATATCCAAATCATTAATTTTTGCAGCTTTCAGGTAAAGACCAGCACTGTATACGAAGTCTATGAGAAGAAGTCAGTAGAGGTCATCTAATCTTAAATCATGACATCATCCATTCAAGCCCTTGGCGTAATCCCTGACCAGTAAGAGCACAGCAGGCCCGGATGTGCCACTGGTGATCTTTAATAGCAGTGAGCTTCAAAAAATGGGAGATTTCTGCTATAGTCATGCATTCTTTAACGTCTTGTTTATTAGCAAAAACCAGCAGCCCAGCTTCCCTTAGGTCCTCATGAGCTAAGGTTTTGTAGAGTTCTTCTCTGGTTTCAGAAATCCTGTCTGCACTGCCCACAACAGCTATTACAAACTCTGTATCAGTATAGTAAGTATTCCAGGAAGAGCAAAGAGATTCTTGGCCGCCAATATCCCATATCAGGAAACGCACATTATTAGTTACTATTTCTTCTAAATTACTTCCGGTTGTAGGGGATGTACGTACAACTTCATTCATGGAAAGTTGGCAAAGGATGGCAGTTTTCTCTGCATTATCCAACCCAAAGATGATAACTTTGTGTTCCTGGTGATGGAACAGTCTCCATATCGTAGTGAAGAGAATTCCCAATCTCGGGCAGCAAATCCCCTCCAGTTACCTGCACCGCCAGGACTCCCCTGGCTCAGGCTGAGGGGAGACAGACCCGCTGGAGCCTCCCTCTGCTATTTCGGCTCCAAGAACTCAAGGGAGGCCAAAGTTCAGCCACCCTGCCCAACAGAGGCCCCTCATCTTCCAAAGGTTTGGGGGGGATCTCACCTGGCTCCTGGACATCACCACTGCATTGTCTTCAACGAGACAGTCACCTCCCCTTTTTCAAAAATTCTATTCTCTTCTTTCCTGTTGTCTAACTTTTCCACTGCTCTTTAATTTATTTGTTTTGAGTAGCCCATATAGGAGAAACCATGTGATAGCTAAGATCATGAAGTAGATTTATTTTACATTTAAAGACCCTCATAATTAAATAACGTCATACACATAATATAGGTCAAACTCCATAATTTAATATCAGCAGACTAGCAATATTATTTCTATATACAGCAATAGCCCTCCTTTCCCATGTAACCTTACATATTACAGATTCTGGACTGAAGACCCCCAGTGGGAGGACACCTTATGGTACCATTATTCTACCTGTCATGAGACTATGAATGACAAGTACCTAAGTAAATAAGACCAGGTTATAGATCCATGCAGCAAAACTGAAGTTAAAAACCTTGAAACTTCTATTTAGATTATTGTGTGATTAAATGGTTCTTTTTGGCCACCTACTAATTTGATAAAATGCTGCAGCTGAACTGGCCATCTTCATGCTAATGGTCATTCGCGGTATTTTCTAGCATGGTTTTGAATAATCTGCACAAATTCAGTATTACATTTTTGAAACTACAATTGATTCAGAAGTATCTTGCTGTATCTTAAAAATAATTATGTACAATAATAATCTATAAAAAGTTCAATCCCTGATACAAAAAAAAAAAAAACACAGAAAGAAAGAAAGATCAAGTTCTGACCTTGGTACTTTTTTTTTTTTTCCAATGCCTGTAGTCTTTGATGAAGAGATTTGGCAAGCTTATCAAAGAAAAGAGAAATATCTTTCACTGAGCAAACCAAGAAAGGGAGACATGGGAGAGGGAAAATGCAGGTTAAATGATGTGCTATGGTGTTCTCAGTTTGGGCCTCAGAGGTAAATAAGGTGAGGAAAAGGAGACGAACTGGTGACAGAGAGTGTGAGTGTCAGACAGAATATCATGATGGCAAGGCCATTGGTTCTGTGACTTTGAAACTCAGTAGGTACACAATTAAAAATCAGTTAATTTCACCCTTTGTAAAGAAAGGTAGATGAAGAAAATTGTAGATCTTAGGGGTACCATTGCTGATGACAAAGGCAGGGAACAAGGGAGTCACACAAAGGAGTTTCTAAATGGATTCTTTCAAGTAGGCTTATTAATAATATATTTATTAATAATATATTTAACAATAATATTTAGCCATCTATTGTGTTACAATAATGTAGCTGAATTTTACCTTCTCAGATTTAACTTTGACAAAAATAAGGATAATTCTATTTGAAAAAATGACGACATGCTATTATAACTTCATTATTTTCAAATACATATATTGCAGAGTTGGCTGCTGGAAACTAACTCAGGAAGTAAATTTGCTTTTTTTCTTTCTTTTATTGAGTTTATTGGTACATTTTAGGTATACAGTACAGTTACATTCATTATTGGGATGTTGTACCTTTACATGACAGGTCTTGGTTCTCATTTTTTCCCCTTGTCCCTGCCCTCCCTTCACCTCCTCCTCCCCTTCCCATTTACAAACAATTTATTTCCATTTTGTCATATTTTTTTCTTTTCCCTTATTACCTTTCCCCTACCCTTCCCATTTTCCCTACACCTTTAGCCTTTTTCTTCCTACTTCACATGGTCAATTATCTCATTAGGATTTTATGTACTATTATAGTTCTTCATACCGGAGAAACTATTCAGTATTCCCACGTGTGACTTATTTATTTCACTTAGGAGTATATCCTCAATATGTATCCATTTTCCTACGAATGAATCTAATTTCTCATTCTTTATGGCTAAGTAGTATTCCATGTTACAGAAAAACCGCATTTTCTTTATCCAGTTTCCAACTGATGGGCAAATGGGCTGTTTCCAAGTTTTAGCTTTTACAAACTGTGCCGCTATAAACATTGGTGTGCATATATTCTTTTAATTCTTTTAATTCTTTTGGAAAGATACTCAGCAGAGGGATGGCTTATCAAATGGAACCTCTAGTCCCAGCTCTTTGAGATGTTTCCATATCTCAGGAGGCCTGAGAATGTGTGTGGGGGTTTTCCAGGGAAAGCCCACATGGTACCTTCCTTGTGCTGTAGCCGATGGTGCTGCAGGCAGGGGAGGGCGCAGCTGCCCATCTGGCCAATTGGGCCCAAGCAGGCCAGAGGGAGAGCAGATCTTGGAGTGGCCCTTCCCAAATCTCACCTTCCTTGCACTAAAGTTTAATTATTCTTAATATTTCAGTAGTGTGTCTGTTCTCTCTGGATATATAATCAACTCTGCTTACCTGTATGTCAGAGCAGTGTCCTCTTTCCTGAATTTTAGATAGATGTCAAATTACTTCCACTTGATAAACTTCTCCCTCGTTCAGATACATGTAAACACACACACACACACACACACACACACACACACACACTATGATTTACCGTTATGCCTATCAAAAACGGTAGAAAAAATGAACTTTAAAGGTTTAAAGACTTCAAAAGTTGCAGAGTAAGCCACAGGAAATCAACCATCACATGGATAATAACTATGCATACTGAACAAAATAAAACAAACATTTATTTGAGGCCTTTGTAGAGTAAAAGAAAGCAAGCACATTTTGAAGGAGAGTTAAAACTTTAAGGAAAAAAAGCAGAATGATTTATTTCAGATTTTGCAGATAAAGTCAGAAATCCTGGTCGTTGCAAGTCACTGCACAGCTAAATCTATGATAAAAGCTCACCATCTCTATAGATTGGAGCCTGGGAACACCATGGCAAAGATAAAGTGAGGACAGAGCTCCAGAAAGAACAGAGCTTTAGCTCTTTCAGACATTCCTGAGAGATCACAGACCTGTAAATGTTTGAGAGAGATTTCAATACATTAGTTGGTCCAGGGAGCTAAATAGAGTTTTGAGATGCCACTTTCTATAATTCAAATTTGTTTGATTTATTTGTATAATGAATCATAAACGCACACAGGTGCACACACACATACACAGAGTTCAAGGAGCTATAATAGATACCAGAGCCTCCAGAAACACAGTATCCATGATGAACACACACATCATCTCAAAGGTCAAAAAAACAATAAATTCTCAAGAGAAAAAATGATCAACAAAAACCTGTCCTGAGATGAGCCATATGTGGCAGTCAGGAGATTGGAGTTTCTACAGCAGCTATTGTGACGATGCATAAAGAATTCTTTCTTTTAAAATGCTGATGATTAAAAACTCAAAAATAACACTGAAGAAACAGAAAATATGGAAATAAACTAAAAAGAAATTTTATAAATGAAAAATAATATTAACCAAAAATCTAGCTCTACTTAAGAGCAGAGTGGACCTGATTTTTAAATGAGTTTGCATGAAAGGAAATTACTAAATCCTGAAACACAGTTAAAGAGCACTGAAAATAATAAATAAAGGAAACCTAAAGAATCTTGTAAAGGTACATAAAAAATTCTAGTATTTCCATTAGATAATCAGAAGTAGAAGACAGAGAGAAGATACAAAATATGTGAAGAAATGATGACCTAACTTCTCACTTTTGGTGAGTCAAAATTTTATAGATTCAAAGAAGGATGGCCGGACCTGAAAAAATAAATATGAAGAAATTCTCACCTAAGCACATCGGCAGAGAGCTGAAAACAAGAGATACAGGGAAACCAATGAAAACCAGTCAACCACAGAAAAACAATATCTCATACAGAAGGAAACACAACTTAAAGCTGTAGAATATTGGTAGGCTTCATTAAAAATTAAATAGTCATTCAATAATATAAAAAGTACTTTAAGGGCCAAGGATTTAGCTCAGTGGTTCAGTGGCCTGCCTTGCAAGCGCAAGGACCCGAGTTCAATCCCCGGTACCAAAATAATAATAACAATAATAATAATAATAATAATAATATAAATAAATAAATAAAATTTTTTAAAAAGTACTTTAAAAGAGTGACAAAATAAATGAAAAATCTGAATTCTTTATACAGCAAAGTATCTTTTTCTTTTTTTTTCTTTTTTTTTTTCTTTTTCTTTTTTTGTATTAGGGACTGAACTCAGGTCCTTGTGCTTGCAAGGCAGGCGCCAGAACCACTGAGCTAAATCCACAGCCCAAAAATAACTTTTAAGAGTGAAAAAAAGTAGACATTTTCAAATAAATGAAACCTAAGAGAGTTTGTTGTCATTACACCTCCCTACAAGAAACTTTTAAAATATGACACTGGTGACTGTGTGATTCTTCTTTGCTATATTTTCTACGCTCTTCCTTCCTTCTTTTATGCAGCTATATGAGCTCTAAACGTAGAGAAAGGGGGAATAAGATACAATGGTAAAAAATAAATCAGGCAAAAGTAATAAGTGCCTTTATGGAATTACGATCTGGAATTTAATTTTTTCATAGAAACATCAGTACATTGGTATTATATGCTAATCCTGAATATTTAGGCATCATATTTGACTTTGCTTTCACATGGAATATAATAATAAATCGAACTGATTCTATTTGGAAGTGTATCCTAAATTCACCCATCTGCATATCAAGTGTTCTGCATATCAAGTCAACATCCTGGGTGGATCCTGGCCACCTCCCGAAGCTTCTTATCTGGTGACCCTGTACTCTCTTGTCACGTGCAGACTCAATTTGAATCCATTTGCCACTCAACAGTTACAGAGAGCTGATTAAAGCCTTTTTAATCCCTTTACACGTGTACCTGGTTCCATTGATGAACCTCTATTACCGCTTTTTGTCTAGGCTCTGGCTTACTACTACTTAATTCCTAGAATCTTCTCTCCCTGAAGGTGGAA